CTTTTTTTTTTAAACTTTGAGACAGGGTCTCCCTAAGTTGCCCATGTTGGCCTTGAATTTGAGATCCTCCTGCATTAGTCTTCCAAGTTGCTGGGATTACAGGCATGTGCCACCATGCCTGGCCCTTAAATAGTCCTTATGTGAATGCTCTTCCATCATTTTTTAATCCAAAGAACTCCCATTTATCTATCAAAATATGCCTCATCTGTCTCTGCAAACCTTCTTGACCATTTGAGCATTTCATGCAGTTGATACTTTCTCTTTTGTATCATACTTTTTTTTTTCTTTTGGTATCAGGGATTTAACCCAGGGACATTTTAACCACTGAATCACATCCCCAGTCACCCGGCCCTTTTGTTTTAARTTTTAAGACAGGGTCTCATTAAGTTGATTACAGCCTTGCTCAGTTTCGAAGGCTGGCCTTGAATTTGAAATCCTGTCTCCGTTTCCCAAGCTGCTGGGATTACAGGAATGCACCACCATGCTTGGCTTGTATCATACTTTTTATAGTGTATATTTTATACAGTGAAATTTTTATATATCTTTTTAGACCATTTCTCTCTGGCAGGAAATTCCTTATACATGKTCCCTTGCACATGGAGGTCCTTCCTCCACCCTGTAAAAAACATTAATTGTCCTCTTAAGTTTGTCAAAATAACACCTCCATTAAGTTTTTCCTGATCATCTACTTAGAAATAATTTCCTCCTCTTTTGATCTTTTATGATATCCCAAACCAATGTTTTTCAAGTGCAATGTGTTTATGACTCACCAAGGAACCTTGTTAAAATATAAATTATGGGGCTGGGATTGTGGCTCAGTGGTAGAGCACTCGCCTAGCACAGGTGGGGCCGGGTTCGATCCTCAGCATCACATAAAAATAAAAGGTATTGTGTCCATCTACACCTAAAAACTAAATATTTAAAAAAAATATATATATATATATAAATTATGATTAAGGGAGATTCTGCATTACTAAGTATCAGGTAATACCAAAGCTGATCTGCAGACATAATCCAGACAGAGTTACTTCTCTGGTAAAAAGTGAAGGCAAAAGATTACCTTAAGGACTTCTACATATACTTCACACACACACATATACATACATACACACACACACACACACACACATAAAGTGATACTGTCACATTCTTGCTTTTATATACATGCATTTCTTTTTTCTTGGTACTGGGCACTAAACCCAGTACCCAGGGGCACTCAACCACTGACCACATCCCCAGCCCCTTTTTTTATTTTTCATTTTGAGACAAGGTCTCACTAAGTTCCTCAGGGCTTCACTAAGTTGCTGAAGTTGGCCTTGAACTTTCGATCCTCTTGCCTCAGCCTCCCGAGTTGCTGGGATTATAGGCTTGTGCCATCATGCTAGGCTACACATGCTTTCATTGTTGCTGTTGGATGTATTTTTATAACACAGACTTAAATATTCAGTATGGATTTCCCTATTTATTCATTCAGTTATTGACTCATTCACAAACAACTCATGTTCTTTTAATTTGTATTTAAGWATCTTACTTTTTAGTCAGGTGTGATGGTACATGCCTATAATCTCATCTACTTAAGAGGSTGACACAAGGATTACAAGTATGAGACTAACCTTAACGACTTAGGAAAACACTATCTAGAAAAAAAAAAAAAAGGCAGGAATGTAGTTCAGTGTAGAGTGCCCCTGGGTTCAATCCCTAGCATCTCTCTCTCTCTCTCAACACACACACACACACCCAAAAGCTTGCTTATAAGTGTGCTTTTCATTTTATAGGGGACAAAATGGAAGCTTATAGATACTCAACACTAACTTATCCATTATAATATATAGCTAACCTAAGAGTTGAAATTTTTGCGGAAGTCTCTAGTTATAAACCTACTACAATTTTAGTTATATCACCTAAGTTTTTAAAAATATTTTTATTAATTGTTGATGGACCTTTATTTTATTTGCTTATTTACATGTGGTGCTGAGAATTGAACCCAGTGCCTCACACATGCTAGGCAAGAGCTCTACCACTGAGCCTCAATCCCAGCCCCATATAACCTAAATTTTATATTTCTTTTAATGACATATAAAGAAAAGCAAAAATAATTTATTAATTMAACAATACTTTTGTGACATATTTTTGGTTCTATGGCAGGTGCTAGTATATAGAAAATATTAGGAAAATTCATATTTCTAAGGATTGTTAAGTAAGATTTTTTTTTAAAGAGAGAGTGAGAGAGAGAGAGAATTTTTTAATATTTATTTTTTTTAGTTTTCGGTGGACACAACATCTTTGTTTGTATGTGGCGCTGAGGATCGAACCCGGGCCGCGTGCATGCCAGGCAAGTGCGCTACCGCTTGAGCCACATCCCCAGCCGCRTTAAGTAAGATTTTACCAAGGAAGGAACATTAGAGTTTAGTCTTAAATTTTGGGACAAAAAGGATAAAGGCATTTAAAGTATGAAGACCAGGATATATATACATATGGAAAGAAAATACCAACGCAAGTTTTAGAATAAAGRCTGAATGTGGACAAATAGTAAGGAYGAGTATCATTAAGAATAAGACATTTTTAGCTAGGTATGGTACTCAAGAAACTAAGGTGGACAGATCACTGGATCCCAGATTTCAGGTCTGGGCAAACATGGTGAGACTCCATCTCAAAAATTTAAAAGAAAAAGAAAAGGAAAGACTTGGACACAATCTGGAAGGAAAGGTATACATTGAAATCATCTATAAGTTGAAAACATTTATGATTACAGAAATAGCATAAAAAAGGGAAAAGTAGAATTTACATGACATMTGTAGGAACCAGAGAAAACCCTTGGAATTGGGAGAGTAAAATGTTTACATTTGAAAACAATAAAAAATTAGTCTTAGGATACTTAACACTAAGTAGAATTACTGACATATGTTGAGTATGTAACTTTGCCAGATATAGCACTAATTGCTCTATATCTGTACAATTTTTGAGCTCTTGGGTACTATTATTCCCAATTTGCTTATGAGGAAATAGGTTAAGTAACTTGGTCAAAATTGCATAGATATGGTAAAGCCAGGATGCAAATTTAGGACTCTTCTAGACTTCAGACACACTACTATTCAATCTATAAACATATAAGAGGCTCATGTTTTATTGGAAAGAAATATGAGACAGAAGACTAGCATTTAATTCCACAGCCATCATGTAGAAGTTACTAAACCTGGGTTTCAGTTTATTTACAAAATACAGAAATCAAAAGCTCATCAGGATTCTTACATAAATCAAGARTAGATGCTTAAAGTATTCTGTAAATTTAAACTGTACAATGTCCAGGTCTCTTAAATTATGAATTCTTTTTTTTTTTAAAGAGAGAGTGAGAGAGAATTTTAATATTTATTTTTTAGTTATCGGTGGACACAACATCTTTGTTTGTATGTGGTGCTGAGGCTCRAACCTGGGCCACGCATGCCAGGCGACCGAGCTACCGCTTGAGCCACATCCCTAGCCCTTAAATTATGAATTCAATGAGTAGCCTAGATATGTTATTCTGTAAGGTTTCTTGGATGTATTTAAGACGGTTCCTTGGGGAAAGAGGGACATGAAAAAAAAAATCTATACACACACACACACACACACACACACAGATAGATGAGTCTGAACAAACACCAGGTTCTAATAATCAATATATATTTTTTTTAAATCTGGGAAATTAAAATAGATATTCCTCCATAAGCAACTATGCTATCAAAATGTAGATGAAACAGATTTAAATAATTTGGGTTGTTCCATTTAAATTTAAAAGGAATGTATCAGCTGTGCTCCCTATGATAGATAAAAATTTATTTTACTTTTAGTTGGGCAAGGTGACACCCGCCTGTCATCCCAGCAGCTTGGAAGGCTGAGGCAGAAGGATGGAAAGTTCAAAGACAACCTCAGCAACTTGGTGAGGTCCTAAGCAACTTAAGATCCTGTCTCTAAATAAAATATGAAAAAAGGAGGGTGCTGGGGATGTGGTTCGGTGGTTAAGTGCCCCTGGGTTCCAACAAACAATCAAAAATTTTATTTTTAAAATCATAACTATTACTATTTTTAAGGCAATGCAAAACAGGGGAAACAAAAAAAAAACAAAAAAGAAAACAAGCTATATTCACTGAGAAATCAGATTTATAAAGAATTTAGGATCTTCTCTAGATTGAAATTTCTGTAGCTAAACTAATCTATTTTTTCCTATCAGGTAGTAAGTGTGGTCAATGAAAAATACACAACGACTTATAAAAGTAAAATTTGAAAATGGCTAGCAGAGGAAGATTCACGTTACAAGGAAATGAGTTCGAAACTGAGAAAAAAGAAAAACATTTTCCTGTGCTGTAAAAAGTGCTTTCTCCAACACTACAAGAAAATCTGCAAAGGCTATTGGGGAAATCTAGTTGGATTACACGAAGTTTCAAGTGTACATGGGTACACTTCTCTGAATACCAAGGTCCAACACTATAAAATGGGAGGAAAACTGGGACCCCGAGCACGATATAAAATTCTATAAAAACCACGAACTCCTTAACTCCTTAAGGGAAATTTGGATTGACAGTGCCAAACCGAATCCCAGCAAAAAGGTTCCCTGTTGATGAATAACAGAACACAGATCAACTTTCTTCTCATTCTTTCGGTATTTCCCTCGACCGATCTAACCGTCCCTTTTCTGGGTAACAGAGTAATTTCACAAATAAAACCCTTGGGCTCCGTGGGTCTGCCCGAGGTGAATAAGCCGCCCCCAAACCCTGGTCACCCTTTTACCCACAGCGTGGGTAAAGCTAGGGTGACCGAGCGACTTGACTCTTTTGAGACGGGTCTCCGAATCCAGATTCGGCCACTCGGGGCCTCTCCGAAGGCCTGGACCTCAGGAGGGCTGGGTTCACCAGCAGTCCGCTTCCTGTCCGTCCCCGCCCGGCCACAACCGCCTGCGCAGAGAGAGACCCCACCGCGCCGGCCCGCGCCTCCCGGGGACTCGCCCTAACGGGGCGCAGCCTCACCTTCCGCGTCAGCTGAGGAGACAAAAGTGAAGTCCCCGTTAGTGGGGGCATACGCCGGGGGCGGGCCCGGCGGCTGCATCTCGCCGCCCCTCCGAGCCCGCTGCGGTGGAGGAGGCTGCAGCTGGGCCCAGGTCCCAAGGCCGCCGCGACGCGGACCCGCACGCTCGCGTTACGGTGCGGCCTGAGAGCTGAGGGGGGCAGGCTGGGACACAGACCCAAGGCGAGCGCAGAGGGCCGCCGGGCTGTCCCGAGACTGCCCCACCAAAGTCCTCTCAGTGGCGACCGCCCAAGCACCACGACGCCGGCGCCCTGACAGGACCATAACAGTGACAGGGCCGCGTGGATTGGCTCTTTGTAAAGTGCTCTCCTATTGGCTTCCGGAGAAAGCTTCTGATTGGGTCTTCCTGTTGTTGATTCCGGAAGCTTACTCAGGGCCCGGAAGTCCACTCTGTGTTGGCTGTTTTTGTAACCTTTAGGTCCAATCTTTTCCAGATTTCTTTGAGTATGTGGTTAAAGCATTTTAGAATAGGCAGGTTTCTAGAGTTCAGCCCCTGGTTTTCGATCAGGATTCAGTAGTTGCCTTTAGTCGTGAATTCATTGTATCGGGTATTAAGTAATTTTATATATTAGAGCCTCAGTTTTTTCACCTGTGATATATGCAAAGCAGATAACAATAATAATTAAAAAGGTAAGGAGCCGAGCGCGGTGGTTGAGCGCTGGCCTATCAGTGTTTGAACCTCTGGGTTCAGTACCCAGTACACTCACGCAGAGGGATTAAACCGTAATTTGCCACCCAGAGGCTGTGGCTGTAGTCTAGCTACATTACTTTATTGAAGAAGGCAACTGAGACTAGGAAAGGAAAGGTAGTGACAGAGTTAGGAAGATATCTAACTTCTTGGCTTCTTGAGAGTGCTCTTTTCGCTAGAAGGACCTGTCAATTACACTTACCGAAGTTTTCAAATACACCTACATTTTTAAAATGTTCAAATAAATAAAATTATGTTTAAATCCAAACTGCATAAACGTGGCTTCCAATTGGAAGAGAGAGGGTTTGGGGATCTATTATAAAACAGGATTAGAGAAATACACAATAGTCAACAATAGAGTAATGGACAGTTATGTCCATTATCATGTTTTTGTTAGGTACTGGGGATTGAATCCAGCGGGTTTAAACACTGAGCCATATTCCCAGCTTTTTTTTTTTTTTTTTTTTTTTTTTTTTAACTTTGAGGCATGGTCTTATTAAGTTGCTTAGGACCTCTCTAAATTGCTGAGGCTGGCTTTGAATTCCCGATCCTCCTGCCTCAGCCTCCCAGGCTGCTGGGATTGCAGGCATGCGCCACCGTGCTGTGCCAATTAAAGGGCTAAATGATATTTCGCGAATGTATTCTCACAAGAGGTAACAACTTAAAATATGAACAAAAATTTGCTGGCGAAGACGTGTGGGAGGTTGGCAGCCTGGATCACAACATTCCAGAGACAATTTACTGAACTCGGGCAAATGGAAGTCATTCTATTCTTTGGAATTTAGGTTTCATGGGAAAGAATGGCTGCAGATGAGATTTGATAGACAGGGATAATGAAATAACTTGTGTGCTAGATTTTTTTCTGGAAATGATGGACCCATTACAAGATTTAGAGCACGAGAGTGATATAGTCAGATATACCTTTTAGAATTCTTAAAATATCCACACTGGGAGTATTTTGACTTGGAGAGCAGACTTGTATGAAGCCTTTTAGCCCTACTAAGTAATTATTGGATTTGAGGTTTCAGCTCTGGGAAGGAAAGAGAAAATTGATATGAGAGACTTTAAGTTTAAGAATCTAAAGGATTGGGCTTGGTGGCACGTGCCTGTGATCCCAGCTACTCAGGAGACTGAGGCAGCAGGATCTCAAGTTTGAGACGAGCCTCAGCAACTTAGTGAGATCTTGTATCATAATGAAAAATTACAAGGGTTAGGGAAGTAGCTCAGTGGTAAAGTGCCTCTGGGTTCAATCCCCAATACAAAAATATTAATCATCATACTATCATCATCATCTACAGGATTTTGTCATCAATTACAAGAGATTGCAAGTGAAAAACAGAATAGGAAGGAACTTAGGATAAATTCATGCTTTTTGGTTAAGTGCTTATAAGTGTTAGTAAGTGTGGAAAAAGAAGAAGAGGAGTTGGACTGATGACAGAGGAGAGTTATGAGCATCATAAGTATTTTATGATGACTTATTCTTCAGCTCATAAGGATCCAGTGCTGTGGGTAGAATTCTGAAGTGGAGGTAGAGCGTGGTAGGCAACAGTGTATGGTTTTAATTACTTTAATGAGTGTGGATGAGATAACCCAGGTAAAGTATGCTGAGAAGCAATCCAAGAAGAATTGGCCAGAAAAGGAAATAGGATGAGTTGCAATTTAAAATAGGAAATCTGGAAAAGGAGGCCATCTTCCCCATCTTACCATCTTTTCATTTTAATTTTTCTATCTTTTTTTTTATGGTAGTGTGGGTTGATCCCAAAGGTTTTTACCACTGAACTACAGCCCCAACCCTTTTCATTTTTTAAAAATTAGTGTTCTTTTTTATATACCTTTATTTATTTATTTATTGTTATGTAGTGCTGAGGATTGAACCCAGTGCCTCACACATACTAGGCAAGCGTGCTACCATGAGCTACAACCCTAGACCTCTTTTCATTTTTAATTTTAAAACAGGATCTCACCAAATTTCTTAGGGTCTTGGTAAGTTGTTGAGGCTGGCCTTGAACTTTTGATCTTTGTGCCTGAGCCTCCCAAGTCAGTTATGTGTGCCACTATGCCTGGCCTACATGTCTTTTTGTAAACAGAGTGTCTTATTTTTTTCTAGTGTAACAACATTAGTCTTAAAAAAGAAATTAACCTCTTAAATTGACTATGAGTTGACACTCTTTTTTAAAGTCAGTTTCTTTTTTTTTCTTTTTTATTTGCAGGTGGATACAATACCTTTATTTCATTTTTACGTGGTGTTGAGGATCAAACTCAGTGCCTCATGTGTGCTAGGCGAGGGCTCCACCAGTGAGCCACAACCCCAGCCCTAGGTTGACACTCTTTGTAGTCACTGGTACATTTACTTTTTCATATGATGTTGTCCTTTCTATTTGTTTTGCCTTTTAAATTTAATTTTGTTTTATTTTATTCTTTCTTTTCATTGGTTATTGTCTGTCATTTTATTTTTTCCTTTTGCTAGTTTAGAAATTATACCCTCTGTTTCTGTTTTCTTACCAACTACATACAGTAAACTTTTAACATGCGTATTTAACTTATCACAATCTAAAGTTAATAGTGTTATTACCCAATCCCAGACAATACAAGAACCCTTGAACATTAACTTTGGCAAGTCCCCAGATGACTTACATTTTTTCTCTTATGTTTTAGTTCTGGGTCATGGTTCTTTCTTATCCCACTTAAAAAAATGGCATTATATTTTGTAAAGTCAATATTATATTTTTAAAAGCAATTTTAGATATTTTTTATTCTTTCATCTACAAGTTTCGACTTTCTTCTACCTAAAGTAAATCCTTAAGGGTTTAATTTAGGGTGGGCATCTTGGTGGAAAAAAATGTCTCAGTTTTATCTACAAATGGCTTTATTTTGCTACTGTTTTAAAAAGATATTTGTGCTGGGAGTATCATTATGGATCAAAAGTTATTTTTTTCTCAGAAGATACTTTGAAGATATGCAACTGTCTTGTTTTCTGGTTGCTACTAAGAAATTAATACCAGTGCCATAGCACAGGCCTGTAATCCCAGAGGGTCAGGAGGCTGAGGCAGGAGGATCATGAGTTCAAAGCCAGCCTCAGCAACAGCAAGAGGGATGTGGCTCAATGGTTGAGTACCCCTGAGTTCAATCCCCAGTACCAAGAAAAAAAGAAAGAAATTAACTTATTCATGTCTTTAAAGATGATTTCTTTTCTATTTTTGGTACTAGGCATTGAACTCAGTGGTGCTTAACCATTGAGCCACATCCCCAGCCCTTTTTTAGTTTATTTGAGTYAGGGTCTCGCTAAATGGTTGAGGCTAGTCTGGAACTTGTCATCCTCCTGCCTCAGCTTCCAGAATCATTGGGATTACATTTGTGTACCATTGTGGGTAGCTGTAAAGATGATTCATCTATTTTCTTTAGTTGCTTTCTAATATGTCCTTGCCTTTTTGTGTGCAAAATATGCATACTGAAATGAGTAATGTGGATTTCTTTTTGTTTATACTGTTTAGAATTTATTGGGTAACCTGAACCTCAAGGTTGTTATCTTTCTTCAGTTTTTGAAAGTCTTAGTTACCTCTTTGAATATTACTCCTATTCTGTTCTCTCTCCTTTCCTTTTGACGCTCCAGTTAGATATATAACAGTAATAGGGACCATGTATGTAATGGTTAGTAGCTAACACTTCGATGGCCCTTACTATGGCCAGGCATTATGGCAGTCGGTTTACATTAATTTTTTTTAATCTTTACGACAGCCTCATGAAGTAGGTATTGTTATTTCCCCCATCTTGCAAATAAAGAACAGGGGACAGAAAAAAAAAAGCAATTATAAACCTAAATGCTCTGACTCCTGAATCCTAAACACAATACCATGAAGCCTCATTGTTTTTTTGTTATACACCAGACTTTCTTATCCTGCTTTGATGATTCAGGTTTTTCCTTTGAGTTTTTATTTATTTGGTTCTGTATGACTCAAAGCAGAATACTGACCACGATTCCTGTTTCTGGAATCTTGTTTCAGGAATTCTGTCCTGCTTTGGTTCTCTAAATAATGAGTTTGTTGACTTTCAAGGAGTGGTACAAATGTTCTATTTAATTTGTTAATCTCACTTTCCTGTTGTAAACATTGTTTAAGATGGCTAGTTTCTTCAGGCTAAGCAACTTTGTCTATGACAGTAATTGAAACTACTTCACACCTATGTGGGAAATACATAGCTTGTTTCATTTTTATGCTTATAACTTTTTTCTTATCTCAAAAGTAGTACATACTTATTGGAGAAAATAGAAAAGAAAAATTATCCTATTATATTGCCCACAGGAGTATCTACTGTTAACATCTTGGTGGAATCCTTATAATCCTTTTTATAGGCATTTTATGTATAATTATATTCTTCCAAGCATACTGACTTATAACATTTGTGTTTTCAGTGTCACCAATATGTCTGTCTGTCTTTCTTTCATATTGGGGATCAAACCCAGGGCCTTGCACATGCTGAGCAAATACTTTACCACTGAGCTACATCTCCATCCCTTTTTATTTCTTGCTTTCTTTCTTTCTTTTTTTTTTTTTTTTTTTGGTACTGGGGA